TCTCAAACTTTTTAGAAAAGGAAGGATATTTCATATTGAAAAGGAAGCTTATTTAGATTAAACATATATGATACCACCCCTTTTAAAATATATCCCATGTTAGTTACATCCACACCTCTAGCATCTGATACACCGATACAAGTGGGTTAAATTTCAAAATGTTAATTTTTGCCCTCCCCAAGTAAAATGAACATTAACATTATGTAATGTTGTGATAAGGGGGAGAGGGTTATATCATATTAAGTAAGCTTTAGAGAACTGATTTATCTATTTCATTGCATGGAAACCAGTGTTTCCTAAGTGACATTTTTGTGGTTTTGAGAAAATGGGTTTAAAGTTGAATATGAACCATTTATGATACAAAGCTGATTTTATACTATCTCATGTCATTGTAAGGTTTATGTATATGATTTCAAAACTATTATATTTGCAATGGTAAATGTAGTTTTTTCAGAAAGAAAATTGTGGCAGAAGATATTTTAGCTGTTTTGCACGTTTTGACATTAATGTTGACTCATTGTATCAAACTGATCAATTCATTGATTTTGCAGTTTGGAAAATAAAACTTATTGCATCATTGAATTCCCTTTCAAGTTTATAATGTTGAAGTTTTCAATCAACTGTTTTAAGTACGGAATTTCTCGAGCAGAATATATCCTTTATTGCACTTCAAATCATTCAATAACTTACATCATTGTATGATCTGTAAAATGAAGCCCTCTGATTGGTCAGTTCTTGTGCTGTACCTATCTGTATTGCTACTGAGATTGTCCCCATTGATCATCTCCGTCGCAATACATAAAATATTGGTAACAAAGGGACAATCTCAGTAGCAATACAGAGGACCACACGATGAAAACGTTATTGAATAATTTGAAGTGCAATGCAGGATATATTCTGTCTCGATATCCTGTATTGGCACTCGGCTCCGTCTCTTGCCAATACAGAATTTCTCGAGCAGAATATATACTGTATTGGACTTCAAATCATTCAATAACTTATAATATTATCATTTCATTATATTGTACCATCAAAAGAAATGGTACATTTTAGAGTGTGATACTCTGGTGCCATTTTCAATAGATCTTACTTTTAGTGTTATTGGACTTCAAAGAGAAGTGAAGGTTATCCGCAAATAATATATCCATTGCATGGGATAGGTTATTTTCTTTGGTATAACAAAATATTTGAGCTAAAAAATAATTTGTGAAGTTTTCTAAATGTTTTTTCAATGAAAAATAGCATGCTCCCCTAAGCTGGACAAATCTTTGACCACCTGTGACTTACCAACCATATTTCATGACTACCAGCCTGATAAAGTCACAATGTTACATGACTTTAAATATCAAGTAGTTATTTCCTAAAATGACAGGGTTGCAGCTTTTTTTGACCACCCTGTACAGCAATATTACTTAATATTATTATATTACTTAAATAATATTATAGTTTTCTTTTGTTTAATTCCAGGTGATGTTTGAGACCAAAAAAACGGCGAGCGGTTTATGTTGGCTATTTCCAAAGCAACAACATGTATGCATGTCAACACAAGGATTGCCATTGCGCATGTTCATTTGTTGCACAATACAACACAGAAAAAGCAAGCAGGATCAAATATTATTAATTAAGCCATTAGAGCCAAATACGACACCAATTTCGAAAAAGAAGCTTTAAGATGAAATTGGGGAAGATAGCATCTCTCTATATAGGAATGAACACTGTCACTGTTGAGTCAAAGCCAGTGATATGGTGGGATCAATTTATGTGGCAAACGTCAAAGCCATTGTAAATTCCTTGAAGATGAATCTGACAAAATGCGAAGATAGACTTGATGAATATGACCCTAATTTACTTCAGACTTTTTTTGAAATCGTTAGATTAGAACTTGGGCTAGTATAATGATGAAGCTAATAGATTATAATATAATTTGAAAGGGTGCATTTGAAAGAACTAGAGTATTACTCATATTTACACGCCTAACCATCGACAACGTACAGTGACAAAATATACCATTGCACACTTTATATTGTACAGTGTCACTAAAAACTGATGATGCAGGTGTGATGTAGGTTTTCAAAAATTAATTTTGGGAATACTTGAAAGATTTCAATTTCATCTTCAACTTTTAGCTTTCTGATTACATTAAAAGATTTAAAAGCAATGCTTGATTTTTTCCTAGTTAGTCTATCAACAAAAATTGATCGGTTGGAAAATGTTGGGTTTTTCACATTTCCTTTGATCATTTTTTCTCCTGTCGCCTAAGAGTGTCATTTATTTTTATGAGAATATGTTTCTCTAAACTACACAATTTAAGATGAGTGAAGATTTGATAAATATTATGTATTGGGTGTAATTTGAATAAAAAATCAGAAGAGTAGTTGTCAACTCCACTGAAGGGTGTCAGTGTAAATGAAATTCACGAGATGTTATATTGAACAATGCAATAATTAAACAAGTTATGTTTAAGGAACATGTTCAATTATCCCTAATACAGATGTTCTAAAGTTAAGGTAAATTTGATTTTTAAATTTTGTTGAATGTTATTTCATTTTATAAAAGTGTTGGTGTGGTGATTAATATGTGACCATGGGGTGTTAGCCTCTTACCCCTTGATCACTTGACATCTGTACTTTAACGTAATAAGAAACACTTTTATGAATTTTAATTATCTTAAGAAGTTGATAGAGAGATTTATACTAGCTAGTCAAAGATGACTTTTTAAAATCCTCTTTATGCTATATCTGGAAAGTGTTGAGGTTCGATACTATGGTTCAATCAAGTTTAAGTAACACTGTGTTTCAGTTTTAAATCAATCTGATCCCCCTGCCCATTAGTGTTATTAAAAATGTGTTGTCAGGGTTAACTGTGAATTCAGATATGTAAGTTCGTTGGGACAACGTACATCAAGATGACAAGGCACATTTGTAATTTTTTGATTTTTATTATTTTAACTAAAACATGAATATTTATTAAATTTTCAACCGACCTTAATTGTGTAACTTAAGGAAACATATTCTCATAAAAATAATTGACACTCTTAGGCGACAGGGGGAAAAATGACCAAAGTAAATGTGAAAAACCCAACATTTTCCAACCGATCATTGTTTGTGGTTAGATTAACTATGGAAAAAATCGAGCACTGCTCGAAAATCTTTTAACGTAATCAGAAGGCTAATGGTTTTCCTAATCGAATACACACAAAATTAAACATGAAATTCTTTATGCATTCCTCAGATTAATTTTTAAAACCTACATCACACCTACATCATATCTTTTGCTTCATATCAGTTAGAATAGTGACACTGTACATCAAAAGTCTACGGGGGGTATATTTTGTCACTGTACTTTGTCGATGATCAGGTGTGATTTAAAATAAAAAAGTTAAAATGATCAATCTTCTGCCTGTTGTACCATCAGTTACAGTATCTTCTAATGAAGTATTTTCTGTAATGCTAAAGATTACTTGATCTGTACGTGATGAACTACTTTTTAAAAATATCTTGTCATAAAATCTAAAATTGTACTTATATAGAATTGCAATTAAAACATTATATAAGACATGTTAATTGTAATCCGATGAAAATTTCTGTTGCCAAACTTATGAATGGAAGCGAAATTGCTTTTAACACACAAATGTTGACTTAATGAATTTGAATTCAAACATCAATTTCGATTAAAAAACAGAAGTGAAAACTATAATTTCTGAATCCTTTGTCAGTTTACTAGAATGTCTGAATTCAGACACCTTATTTCAGTTTTATAGATTGTTGTCTGAATTCAGGCACCTCATCCAAGCTTAGCAAGTTGTCTGAATTCAGACACTATATTTCAGTTTTATAGATTGTTGTCTGAATTCAGGCACCTCATTCAAGCTTAGTAAAGTGTCTGAATTCAGACACCATATTTCAGTTTTATAGATTGTTGTCTGAAATCAGGCACCTCATCCAAGCTTAGCAAAGTGTCTGAATTCAGACACCATATTTCAGTTTTATAGATTGTTGTCTGAAATCAGGCACCTCATCCAAGCTTAGCGAGTTGTCTGAATTCAGACACCATATTTCAGTTTTATGGAATGTTGTCTGAATTCAGGCACCTCATCCAAGCTTAGCAAAGTGTCTGAATTCAGACACCTTATTTTAGTTTAAGAGAATCTTGTCTTTCTAAATTAAAAATGTGTGGGCATGTCTGAATTCAGACACATATTTTCCCATACTAAGAGTTGCATAGAGTAAAACATCTGCCTGAATTCAGACACTTCATTTATCTACACAAAAAGCTTGTAAATATGTTGCTGATGTCTGTACATAACATAGATATACAGTACCTAGAAATATATATCTTTATTTTTATACTTTGCTGGTTGTTTATAATCTTTTCTCATACAAAAAACTTCTCCAACACCTAAAGAATACATTAATTGTCAAATATATTTCTTAATTTATATTAATAATTCAAACTTTTGTCACCTATGGAATTGCCAAACTACACTGGAACCTGTTTATAACTATCAGATACATAAGGGTAATATGAAAAGTGAACCACTAAAACTGATGCATATTCAAGTTTAAGGGAATTTTGTAATACCCTGCCATGTTAATTCCCCCAAATCAGCCACCTGGTGGCGAAACTGGTAACTACCTACGCGCATCTGAGTAATTCTGATTTGTGAGGTTCTCTCAAACAATTGAAAAGGTGACATGCCCATTTTTAATTCTTATGAATTTCATTAAGTATTTTAAAACTTCAATATATTTGACCAAATATCGCAATCCATTTCTTTCCTAAGAAAATAAAATCAGGATTGTGAGGGAAACATTACTTTCGAAAAAACGGTTTAGAGAATGTTGCATTCTCTATCCACTCTAGTGCCTTTAATGTGCCTATGACAAACGTGTTGAAATCAAAAAATAACATTAAGTGTTTAAATGGGTAGTCAAATTCAAGTGGAAGGATGGCAGGGAACACTTTCAATGTATGAGCCAACAATAACAGCTAATGTTTTTCAACAAATGGAACATATTTTATTTGGACAAAAGCGGCAATTTTTCATCAAATGATGATTAACATTACATACAATTTCATTCTTTAAATATTCCATAATTCTCAAATATTGTGTTTTAGCTTTGCAGCCAATTTCTCTGCTTCAGTTTAGATTCTATATTTTGTCAATCTATGGCATGAATAACAATTCTTGGCAATAATAAATCATTTCATAATTCATAATTTCTCAAGCACTTTAATGTCAGATACACTTAACTGTACAATAAAAAATATCACTAAATTCTTGAAAATAGAAAGAGTAACACCCCTTGGATCTCAAGTTGACTCTTCCTTATAAATATTCATCACATTCATATATATTAAAATCAATATCAGCTTTAAACATTATATGGTAACTACACTAAAAATTAGAGTCCATTTCATTCAATTAGGGTTGGGAATCTGCTTTATTCACACTAAAATGTATCTTGGCATCTATAGATTGCCTTCATGCCAAATGTGATTCAATACTTTTTCACTCACAGTAATAAATAAAGCTTTAGATCTATACAAAATCTAAGCCATTTCCCAAGGCAAACTTTGTACCAGACAAAGTGACTAAATTGCAGATATATAATATATGATACAGTCAATTCATAAAAGTTGCAACATTGGATTAACAGGATGTCGGAAACTTGCAATATGTGTTGCACTATGTTTTGCAACAACTACATTGAACTGCATTGAAAAATTCATATGTCCAAGGGATAACTATACATCATCCATGGCACATCGGCCTATACTCCCATCCCAGGCATCTTTCTTAGCTCTGTTGGCTTGTTTCTTCTTATCTGCAAACAAATAAATGAACAGTTATATACCATAACATTACAATAATTGCCATAGTCTAGCTACAAGCCTTTATACTCTACCTCCACTACACAGCTCCTACAAAGTGTGAGAGGTTTTCATAAAATGTCACCACCTACAATTTGTTACAGGCATCGGCTGCTGAAAATCAACCACCAAACACCAACCGCCAACAAGAACACAAATGTGTACAAAATGTCCCCACCAAGTGGTGATCCTGTGAAATGGTTATCCTGAAAATGAGTAGACAAGACTTTACCAACACAATTTGAGGACGGAAAATCCAAAGTGGCCACCTTAAAATTTACCCAGAATGCCAAAAATTTAGTCAGTTCTAGATTTTCATACTAAGAACCACCCCTGAAAATTTGAAATTGATCCGTCACACAGTTAACCAGAAAACATGTAAACAAGACTTTACAGACAAGATTTCAGGATGGAAAATCCAAAATGGCTGCCTTGACATTTACCCAGAATGTCAAAAAACTAATCTGTTTGTAGATTTTCATACTAAGAATCATCCCTGAAAATATGAAATTGATCTACCAAACGGTTCACCTGAAAACGGGTAGACAAGACTTTACAGACAAGATTTTAGGACAGAAAATCCAAAATGGCTGCCTTAACATTTACGCAGAATGCAAAAAAAGTAATCAGATGTAGATTTTCATACAAAGAATCATCCCTGAAAATTTGAAATTGATCTATCAAACCGTTCTCCTAAAAACGCGTAGACAAGACTTTACAGGCAAGATTTTAAGACGGAAAATCCAAAATGGCTGCCTTGACATTTACCCAGAATGCAAAAAAACTAATCAGTTCTAGATTTTCATACTAAGAATCATTCCTGAAAATTTGAAATTGATCTACGAAACGGTTCACCTAAAAACGAGTAGACAAGACTTTACAGACAAGATTTTAGGACGGAAAATCCAAAATGGCTGCCTTGACATTTACCCAGAATGCCAAAAAACTAATGAGATCTAGATTTTTATACTAAGAATCATCCCTGAAAATTTGAAATTGATCCACCAAACGGTTCACCTGAAAACGCGCAGACAAGACTTCACAGACAAGATTTTAGGACCGAAAAATCCAAAATGGCCGACAATAAAAAAGTCCTTATGAGTTTTTGCTGATTTCTTTTTACAAAATTATCACATATAACTACTGTTAACAATAAAGTAGGCTTTTACAGCAAAGTACATCTGAAATTATTTATAAAGCTACTAAATAGTTAAAGTATGAAAACTCAAAAACACCATTCAATATGATACAAAGTATTATCGCGCGCTAACTTTTCTTAAGACATTCAAAGTGGCTGACATGACTGAGCTAGCAGGTCCAAAACCTAATCAGATCTAGAATGAAGTGAGCTGAACAAGATGTTAAAGTTTTAAAAGCAACTGTGAAGCAGTTTTTCTTAAAGTTTGCAGACAAGGATTTTAGCATTTGACTTTAAAATGGCCGACAGGAAGTAGGTATCGAGTTAATTTTTTTTCATCCACATCTGTATGCACTCATAAGTTATCCCTGAAAATTTGAAGGTGATATCTGTAGCGGTTTTGGAGAAAACTGCCGGACGTACGGACAGACAGACGGACAGACAGACGGACGGACGCGCCTAGGCCGACAATATGGCCCCACACTATGTGGTGGGGACATAAAAACTGACTACTAGAGACTATACCATTATGTCATCACATGTGGTGGTGACATAACAATTTATGATGTATTACATTACACATGAACAATCAGTCAGAGTCAAGCACAATGCAGGCGATCAGGAAACTGCCTCATGATCATTTTTCAGATCAACATTCATGCATATATTTTCTCAAATGAAATTGTGGAAATGAAGTCAAATCTGTAACCAATCAACAGGTGAAATGTTTTCTTTTGTTATGATGACACTGTTGTGTCACCCACCCAAATCTTTCAGCATTAGCAGAGAACAAAGCCTACAGTGCTATAAGTATTTAATGTGAAGATACTAGTGCTTTATGTGAATATATATATCACAGATACACAATACAGAAGAATAGCAAAAGAGCAATCGGCAAGTAATATTGAGGTTGTGGGTTCCCACCAAAGTGAAGTGACTTTTTTATATCAGCCCAAGCATAGGATTTGGTCCTATGTTTCAAATTAGCAAAATATGAAAAACGTGAATGGAAAATCACTATATCTTGGAAAATATTAATTCAATTATGTTCATTTTTTCAGGAAAAGAAAGAAGAGACTGTGTATGTATAGCTCCTGTTGTCAGTAAGTTATAAAACATGATGCCTTGGACGCCTGCTCAAATGACAGTTGTACTAGGAAAATATGAAAACGCAGTCAGAGGTGACTGCCACAGCAATAAAACCAAATAACTTTCTAACCATGGTGTTTTGTCACTTCAGATTTGGCACAAATTATCCTCATTCAATGTGTAGTGAATTTGTGGAGTTTCATCAAAATCACTCCAGGGACTTTACAGTCATGGTCAAAATGGCTTCTTAAGTCTCCCTGAACCAGGGCGTTTTACTGCGATTTGAAAGCATTTCAACCATAACTGTAAAGTCCCTGAAGTGATTTTGATTTCACTCTACAGATTTACCATACAATGAATGAAGATGATTTGTGCCAAATTTGAAGAGCCAAAACACTATGGTTAGGAAGTTATTTAATTTTTTCGCGGTTGCTGTCACCACTGACTGCATTTTTCGTATTTTCCTCGTACAACTGTCTTTTGAGCAGGTGTCCAATGCATCATGTTTTACAACTAACCATTTACAGAAGCTGTTCATACACAGTCTCTTCTTTATTTCCTGAAAATATGATTTGGGTTGCGTTTTTTTTTGAACACCCTGTATGTTTGAAATGTTCTCTCGGATTATAATGTTTCTTGTACCTCTTGCTTCTTTCAGTTTCTGCCTTTCTTCCGCCCTCTTCTCTCGCGACATCTTAGTTCCTATACCCAAGGCACCTGACACCAAGCGACGTGCTGTAGAAGCAGAGGTCTCTGGTCGTTCTTTGTATGGCTGGAGGAATTCTGAAGTAAAAGCATGATGTTCACAATCAACCACAACATTTTGAACGCCAATTTCTTAATCTTTCAAGGATTGAAGAAACCACTATGCTACGACAAATTGAGAATATGGAAATTAGTAAATTACCTTGCTGAAAATTGTTTTACAACTACACAAAGTTGAGAATTTAGTAGACCATGAAAACAGGACCAATACCAGAACAATGGCAACGCCAAAGAGTAGCGAATCCCATCGAACATTTTTCAAAAGGGGCACCTTCTACCAAAAGTGTCATTAGACAGAGTGCCATGCTTATAATATTCACATACCAAATATGAACAAAATCGCTCTACTACTTTTCGAGTTATAGTAAAATACGTTAAAATGGTGGCCATTTTGAAAAATGGCCGCCTTCTACCAAAAGTCTCATTAGACAGTTTGCCATGCTTATAGTATTCACATACCAAATATGAACAAAATCGCTCCACTACTTTTCGAGTTATAGTAAAATAAGTTAAAATGGCAGCCATTTTTCAAAGTGTCCGCCATATTGAAAAAAATGGCCGCCTTCCACCAAAAGTGTCATTAGACAGTGTGCCATGCTTACAGTATTCACATACCAAATATGAACCAAATCGCTCCACTACTTTTTGAGTTATAGTAAAATAAGTTAAAATGTCCGCCATTTTTCAAAATGTCCGCCATTTTTCAAAATGGCCGCCTTCTACCAAAAGTGTCATTAGACAGTGTGCCATGCTTTTAGTATTCACATACCAAATATGAACAAAATCGCTCCACTACTTTTCGAGTTACAGCAAAAATCGTAAAATAACGAGTAAAGGCCGCCATTTTTCAAGATGGCTGCCATGTGCTTTTTTAATATCTACATTTCTAGCTTTATTAATGTCCTATATAATTTTTTTTACATTTAAAACATATTGCTATTACAGTTTTACATATTGCACCTAAATTACTGTAAAATCGGCACTAAAATGGCCGCCATTTTTAATGAGCGGCCATTTTGAAAATCAGCTTTCGAGCAGAACTTCTACCCCCATAGGGTATATGTGTACAAAATATGAATAAAATCGGGCCAACGGTATTTGAGTTATTGCCCGGACGGACGGACGGACGTACAGATGGACGTACAGACGTATGTAGGGACGTACGTACGGAAGGAGGCGTTCCATATATCCCTTTGAACTTCGTTCGATGGGATAATTAAGGCCAGCTAGAACTGATACAAGTGACATAGAGTCCAAAGTGAGAGAAAATATTTCAAGAATCATTGTTTACTATGATATGACTTACCTGTTGATTTTTTTGCTTTCCTTTTAGTCTGAGGAGTCGCATCAAATATTGGCCTCACTTTCAACATTGGGTGTTGTAGCCGCATTGCAGTATTTGCTGAAAATCATGTCATATGTGTTTTTAGCCAAATCAACTTAATGTTGTAAAGTAGCTGTATTTATTTTCTTTATGTTTTACTATAATGTAACATTGATACTATTTTTGCAAGCTGATGTAGCTGTGTATTGCACGAACAGATCCCACAGTCAACCATCTTTGCTTATTAAATTGGAATTTTGAAATTTGAAATTTGAATACCACATAGTCTGTCTGGTTCAAACGTCAAACAGTAAATTAGATTTTGACTTACTAACGTATATTCCATTGCCCTCTAAAAGTAGTATTTAACCTATCTCCACTATTATAAATTGTTTTAATTTGGCACTAGTCCATTAAGAGTTTTCCTCTTGGCTATATTATAATACTTGCAATTGTTCAATTTGGTAGTTACAGTGGAAATCCCTTTAAACAACATAGCATAACATTGTTAACTGCTTATTAGCTGAGAGCTTTACCTGCTATGACGCTAGAGAAGACTCCTATTGCATGGGTGTCATCCACCCACTTGATATCAAAGCCATGCTCTCTGCAAAACAACGACAGGAGTTAAAACTTGTAGGACTGCATTGAGGAACAATTCAGCAAATCATATCATATGTTCAAATCTCTAAAAAGAATCATTGTCGTTCTTGGGGTAATGCAATGAAGGAAAGAGGAATTTGTATTATCCTTTTAGGAAATATCAATGATATCCTCCTATGAATATGGAATTCATATTGTGAACTAGTACTATGTTAGGCAAATAACGTGTGATGTGTGCTGAAGTATTGATTGGCCCAAGAATATCAGACTATCATTTGTATTTTATTTTACTTGACTGCTCATTTCACTATAGATGATTTTTATGAATTAGCAAATCACAATTAAACACAAAGCATTAACATGCAAAATATTGCCACCTGCCATTTGTTACAGATATCAACCACTGAACACCCTCCACAAAAAAAGTTGGAGACAATAACAATATGTCAGGACTTGTAATAATAAAATAGTGAATTTTAAAAAGAATAAAATTGCACTTAGACTGAGTAGGCTAAAAAATCCCATACAGTACTCCATAAGTTCAAGACATTTTTGACCCACCCTGTAGAGATTATACAATGTGCAGTACTTACAAGTAGTCCTTGAATATGTGCATGAGATCTCTGGTTTGGAACTCCTCAGGGAATTCATAGATTTCTATCAGATGACCGTACACTAAAACACATGAATAAAGTTCAAATAATGTCACAAATGTGCCAAGGGCTATTAGTATTTTTTCTGTTTGGATCAAAATGACATTTTTAGCATTAATATCACTTATACAAGTAGAAACAATTTTCATATTTGAAATTTGGTTTTCATGATTTTAGTCACTTACTGTCATAGTCGAGATCAGTGTCTGTGGGAGTGTAGTTGTAATAGTCAAACTGAGGTTTCTGTACCTTCACCTTCCCAACTGCAATTGTAAGCTGAAATGTAAAACAAATTGTTTGAGATAATCTAGAACAAGTAGAAGCAGTAGTAATATTTGAATAGGAGGGTTGTATGTAACCAACCATAGAAAAGTGAAGTCTTGAACTAAAGCCACATCAAGGTTGAAGCATTTGGTTATCAAAGGTCAAGGAAGGGACACTGGTCCCATGACAATTGTTGAAAATAAATATGTCCAAGAGATCATAAAGAGCATTCAACCCTATTAGGGACAAGGGAAGTTGAAGCTATATGAGAGATCAAAGTGAAGATGGATATTCAAGCAAATTGGATTACCTCCTCCATTAGAGAAGGGTCTAGAGCTTCTCCAGAATCATCAAAAAGAGCATCCCAGTCATCACCATCAGCCTCGCCAGTGTCAGCATATGTACTTTTATAAACTGCAGGCTCCTTAGAGATATTGTCTTCAGCACTGGATATAATAGTTTTTATATCGTGAGCTTCGTGTTCATTGTCAATTGTCTTATCATTTGCACCTTGAATTTCTTCTTCCTTTGCTTCAGGTTTGGCATTTCCCTCAGTATTTACACTATCATTTCTTTCCATATTGAGATCTGTATCAGAAATACCATTAGTACTGATTTTATTTGCTTTACAGTTCTGGACACTGTCTTTTGTATTTTCTTCAGCAGCAACTTCTTTACTGATACCATCAATACTTTTACATGGATTCACTTCTATAACATTATTTGCTATTGTCTCATTTAGAGCATCATTATTCGGAGAAACAGAAGCATCAACTGTTCTAGAAGATGTTTCCCTATTCTCAATTTCTAGCTCATTATCTTTATATTGTTCAACTTTTTTATCATTCATAGATATCAGGGTTCTCATTTGAGCGTTTGGTTCATTTTCCTGAGTCTTTGTGATTTCTCTTTCAATGTCATTTACTTCTTTGTCAATGGGTTCTATTTCCATTGCAGTTTCAGTAAGGTTTGAAGAATCACATATTTCAGAATCAGAACTATTTATTTTGTCGATTACTTTTTCAGTTAAACTTTCATCAGCACAGTCGTCTTTATTGGTGAATTCAATTCCACTTTCAACTTTTTCATTGAAACTGTCATCAATATTATTTGTAGAAACTGTTGAAGTTTGTATTGATGTGTCTTCGATGTTACTTTCTATTAAAGCATATTCAACATTATTTTCAACTGAAGGTGTACTGGGTGTATCTTTTTCATGTTTGACATTATCTCGGCTTATTTGATCTAATTTGTTAGGTTTGTTTTCAGTCATTTCTTGTTCCTCACTGGAATAATTATGTCCATTACTTGGTTGAGATTCTTCCAAAGTATCACTTGTACACATTGGGGTTTCAACTTCCATTTCATTATCTAGAGAAGTCAATGATGTGTTACAGAATTTGTCATGGTCTGTTTTTATTTCAATTGGCTTGATATCTTCTTGTGTAGGATCTTTGGTATCTCTTGCATTCAAAGATTTACTGTTCATGTCCGAGATAGCATCTTTGAATTCATTCTCATCATTTTTGTAATCAGTGCTATCTGTTTGACTAGTCATTTCAATACTTTTTCTTCTCTTATGTTTTTTATGTTTATGTTTTTCACTTTCACCCTTCTCCCGGTCTTTGTCTTTATGCTTCTTTTTCTTCTTTGACTTGTCTCTAGAATGACTTCTGTGCCTAGAAGTAGAGTCTATTGTTTCTGCAGATCTATCCCTGTTTCTTCTCTCCTCATCACAACCATTGGCATAATCATTTTGAGAATACTTCTCATTCCCTGAGTCACGTGACTTGCTCCGATGTTTATGTTTCTTGTGCTTGTGTCGCTTAGTCTTCATGTCATCTTCTGCATCGTGAATAATTATTGATTCATCAATTGGTGAACTTGTAGCTGCAGCTTCAGTGTGTGTGTTGGGAGCTGCAACTTGAACTGGTGATTGTTTGCTCTCCTCCTCAAGTTGCTGACGTTTGGGTCTTGGGATGTAGACTTGAGACACTACAACAAAGAAGTAACAAAGTATTCACATTGGGTCTGAAATAGGACAAGGTATAATCCAGAATTCAAAAATTACTGGTAATTGGTAAAGTAAAGATTAGTTTGGGAATTCTGGTTATTCTCCTCCCTTGTCTAAAGTGAAACAACATGCATAAACAAGTTAAAAAAATTTATTTTCACTTTGACCAAAATTACTTAAAATATGCCAATATTTCAGGCTCACTTTATCAATACCTGTCTTGGGTTTCTTGCTTGGTCTCCCAAGTTCACTAGGACTAGAGAGAGATGATGAATTTTGTTCTTCTCGAAATACATTTGATTTTTCTTTTGACATCTGTTCATATTTGCTGATGTTGTCCTCAGTTTGTTCCTGCATTCGCCTATGTCTTGGAACATAAACTTGCACCTCAGGTCTTTTCTTTTTACTTCTGAAGCATTTCAATAAAAGCAAAGTTTGTAAAGTAATGAGCTCATGGCAGAATATTTAGCACTACTCCCAGTCTATATGCACAGCCAACTACATCAATTGTTCAATAATAAAAATAAGTGGGAGATATCTCTCAAATGAAAAAGTAGTGATTGATATTTTCAATACAGATAGGTGTAGTCAAACAGTGTCAAGTTTTAAATTTATAATTTTCTTTAAAAGAAAAAAACACAGCTTTCCAATTTTGTATTTGTTTTATCAATTCCTTACCTTGTACCTTCCACATCTTTCTTGATATTTGGTATTTCATCAGTTACATATGGAGACTCTTTATCACCCCCTGGCTTTAAATGATCTCTAGATGCTAATTGATTTCCCCTACCAGGCCTGGCCCTGCCCCGGCCACAGGATGGAGACGGCTCTCGGTCAGGATTCAATCTTGCTCTGCCACGCCCATATGAGGGGGACGATTCCCTTGTGTCGGAATATCCATCATGTCCCCATTTACCTGACATCCCCGAACTTTTGGCCTTCAGCACAGGTGGATTCTCAATAGCCCTAAAGAGTCAAAAATTTAATTACAAAGTGAATGCATTCATTTCAATTTTATAATTCTTTCTTGCAAAATAAGACAAAGATCACAATGCATTCGAGAATTTGACATATATGTATTTACAAATGAATTTACCTTAGAATAGTCTGCTGAAGACAGACTACTGTTCTGCGCTCCTCCTCCTGGCCAATGGAGAAGGAACAGACGTTTGGAAAATCCTGGGCTGTTTGGTGAATTAGTAAACGATGATAGTTATCTACAGGTGGAAACAGAAGAACCCTGAAATAAAAAATGTAGCTGCTGATATAATATACAATTGCACATTTTAATGTCATCCAACATTCTAAAGTACCACGTAAATACAGGCCCAAATGACACAAAAAGAGAAATACAGTTAGCTTAGAAATGAAATGCTTAAAGTTTTCAAGAATTATTTTTATTAAAGACCAATGGTAAAATGATGATATGTTGTGTTTATTCTTATTTTCATCATTACTTTGATACTAGCAATATATTGTATGCCATGAATATAATGGGACAGTATTAGATCTAGTATAACAAAAATTGCAAGTTTTTTACTTTTGTGCATAAATTATTTCCCTGTTACTTCATCTTGATATATACTTTTGAACTAATTTAAAAGCATTTATCTGGTAATTTGCTTAACTATTATACCTATGACATGTTAAATTAGATTTTTAACATTACTCTAAACTTATCTTTACCTATCTAAATTCTCGCCTAAATTCTTCAGCCAGAAGTTGACATCACTTATAATCAGCTGTACAAAGTCACCATCTTTTGCATTCAGGTAGCGGTCATTCAAAAAGAAAGCCAGTGTGGCTGTTTAGTACCATTGGGATGAATCTGAAATTCAGTAAGTATACATTAGTACAGGGTCAAAAATTCATCTACAACTGTATAGAGTACAGGTGGGTAATGTCATCAAAATAGATCAGACAAATGGAGAAAGGGTCAAATGCAGAAGAATAAAACATGTGTCTTGTTTTGGAACCCGTGTTCTCTGTTTCCTACAATTGCAATCTGTCTGACATTTCTAAATGTAAACAATAGTTCACAATCACCAGGAGGTAATATGAAAGATTATTGCCAAGGAATGGAAAATGTATTTCGAAGATGAGAGTTATTTGTTTTATCACTAAAAGAAAATATTTCCGCAATATTAGGTGCATCATGGGAAGGGACTGCTGTGAAATAATGAACGCAAGTGACATCTATCTAAAAAAATATATGTGTAGTTATTGCGCATGCGTTCATATAATATGAACTAATCAAATTGCTGGATTGAACGCACCTGCGCATAGAACACGGGAAAGTCGCCATTTTTCAACTTTCAGTTTCGAAACTTTTAATTTCATGCATCTTTTTGCGTATAGCAGACGTTATAGGCTGTCTTTCGTTAAAAATAACATACGGGATTGAACCTAAGGAAACAAAGAACTCTAGGAACTACCAATTTTTAACAGTGGACGTGTCTTGGGGAAGAAATCGACTCTGGAGGTAATAATTTGGCGGCAAAATTTTTCGGTACTTTACATATTCTTCAGATTTCTCAGAAACTAGTGGATGGAATTCTACCATTTTGGGTAACTTTACTCTGCAGAGTTGTTTGAACCAGCATGTCGATTATTGAAAGGATTCCTGATTACCTGATTACCAATGGTTCTGGAAAGAGGATAGTCCTATTTAATCCAGATCGTGTTTTTGTTTCACATTACTAGTATGAAACAATCTAATCAACGAGAAAGCGCTCCCCCTGTGGGCCCTGTGTTTCATCGGTCATCATTGTTCTATACATGAACATCTCATCCTTCAGGAAGCTGTCAATCTCTCTCTTGAACTGGTTTGTAGTTTCACAATCAATTATATGTTGGGGTAGTGCATTCCAGCTTTGTGCTATTCTGTTTCCAAAGCAATTTTTGCGTAGGTTAAGTCTGCTGTGCCTATGCTGTAGTTTTGTTGTGTGGCCTCTTGTTCTTGTATTGGTCGAGATCTTTGCAATGTCGTTAATGTTTAATCTGTCTAGTCCCTTAGCGATTTTGAACATCAGTATGAGGTCCCCTCGTTTTCTACGATACTGGAGTGATGGAATCCTCAGTGCTCTCATACGTTGCTCGTAGCTCAAGTTTTTTAAACTAGGGACAAGTTTGGTTGCTCTCCTTTGTACTTTCTCTATCATATCCTGATCGAGGGCATATCCTGGTCCCCATGCGCTATTGGCATACTCTAGGTGTGGCCTTACAAGTGCTTTATACAGTAGGGGAAGTGTTGTTTCATCTATATATTTAAATGTTCTTTTTATTAGACCTACCATCCTGTTGGCCTTGGATGATGTTAATCTTGTATGTTCGTGGAATTTCAATTTATTGTCTATATTGAGGCCTAGGTCCTTCTCAGTTTCTGTGTCTTGAAGAACTGTATTGTTCATTACATATTGTTTATTCACATTTTTAGTTCCCATGTGCATGGTTTTACATTTGGAGGAGTTGAATGGTAGTTGCCACTTCTGGGACCATTGATCTAAGGCATCAATATCTCTTTGCATTTGGTTTCTTTGCTCAGATGTTCCGACTTTCCCAACAAGTTTTGTGTCGTCAGCATACATAAATATTTTATTTACAGTCTCTTTTGGCATGTCGTTAATAAATATGGCGAATAGGGATGGCCCAAGGCAGGTCCCTTGAGGTATACCAGACTTTACAGGTGTCCATGGTGATGTATCATTGTTTACTGTTACCCTTTGGAGCCTTCCTGTTAGGAACGAAGTTATCCATCTGTGGACATTTCCCTGTATGCCATATGCCTCCAGTTTGTGTAGTAACCTTGCGTGGGGCACGGAATCAAACGCTTTACTAAAATCTGTGTAAATGCTATCTACCGGTTCCTCTTCGTCTAGTATTCCTGTGATTGTTTCCAAGTAGGATAAAAGTTGCAACACGGTGGATCTGCCAGGGACAAATCCGAACTGGTCTTCAGTGAGTAAGTCGTTATCTTGGAGGTGCTTAACTACAGCGTCACAAACGATCCTTTCTATAATCTTGACTACAATTGATGTTAAGCTTACTGGTCTATAATTAGCTGGAATCTTCATTGCTTCCGATTTTCGAAGTCCATTTTTGGCACTGTTGGTTTTGAAGATTGGAGTTATGTTGGCATTTTTCCAGCCTTGTGGAATCTCCCCAGTTTGGAGTGACATCTTATATAGTAGTGTAAGTGGGGTTGCTATGATTTTAGCTGTCTCTTTTAGTGGGCGGGGATGGAAGCCATCAGGTCCCGGTGACTTATTGACATTTAAATTCAACAGTTTATCGGTTACTTGATTTATTTCAACATCCTGTAGGGCTGATGTATAATTTTGTTTTTCAAGTTTGGGAATGTCATTTAATAGTTCATCAGTGAATACACTTGCGAATTGTTGGTTGAGAGCTGTTGCTTTCTCCTTGTCAGTTGAGGCTAATCTGTTGTCACTGGTTATCAATTCACTGATATCTTCTTTATTTTGCCTTTTGGACTGAGTGTATTGCCAAAACTTCTTATTGTTTTTCTTCACATTCTTAGCAATGTCTTTCTCATATTCATAGCTCAAATTTCGGGTGTATTCACGTAGGTCGTTTCTACAGTCATTATATTTCTTAAGATTCATCTGGGTTTTTGTTTCCTTATATCTTTTCCAGTACCTATATTTCTTTTTGCTCATTTTTATCACTGTTTTATTGATCCATTTCTCCTTCCTTTTATCCTTCCTTCTTTTAGTTGACTTAGGCACACATTCCTTCAAGATGCTGTTATATTTCTCAGAGAAGTATGTCCATGCTTCTTCTACAGTTTTGTTTACAAATTGTGCTTCCCAGTCTACTTTTCCAAGCTCAGCATTCATTTTCTCGTAATTCCCCTTGTTGTATATAAATTTTGGTTTGTAGTGTTGTTGTTTAATATGTACAGGACATTCAGTTGTTATTTGTAAACACACATGATCACTTAAGCCCAAGCTTGGCAAATGTTCAAAGTTTTCAATAAGTTCGTCCTTAGATGTGATGATCAAGTCACATATACTAGGTTGGTCAGTTCCTCTATAGCGTGTCGGTTCTGTGACATGTTGATTAAGAAAATTATCTTCGATACATGTTACAAGATTATGCGATGGGTGATTCACACTGTCAGTTGATTCCATTAGGGTCCAATCTATTTTTGAGTAGTTGAAATCTCCAACCACTATCATGTTATTGTTCAATTTACATGCATCTTCTAATTGTTTGTGAAGTTTAAGACTCTTTACAAGTGTGGAGTTAGGGCTCCTGTATATACATCCTAAGAGTAGGCTATTTGCCCCATTTCCATTTATGGATAACCATTTACTTTCATTGAAGTCTCCAAACTGCTCTTCTTTGAAATCCACACCAGACTTTATGTAGACAATTATTCCTCTCATGTCAGTTTGATCAACATTATCAAAGTTGCTAAGTGTTTTGTAATTATCTAGTTTAAAAATTTCCTCACCAATGATATCACTCCTTAGTTTGGGTAACACCTCAGTAATCATAATAACATCTGGGTTGTGATGCTCTACTCATAGTTGTAATTCTTCCCTTTTATTAGTCAGAGTGTCTGCATTGGTATATAAAATGCTTAAATTATTGTCCTTTGTTGAATTTCCATTCTTATTCTGAGAGGCTTGATGTTGTGATTGTCACTGGGTTGATGGGGCTCCTGCACCAGCCTGTTTGGGTGTCTTTGGTGTTAGGGGTGTGTCAAGACACAGGTTTTCCTTAGTATTTGTTTTCACTGGTGTTTTAACTGGTGGTGGAAGGGTTAATTCAGTGGGAGGGGGGGCATCTTTTAATGAGACTACGTTGTTGTTCCTAGCTTGTGGGAGGGTAGATGGGCTACCCGGGGCGGATTCCTCGATGCTGTTTTGTCCCTTTGATGGGCCCTTAGGGCTTCCTGGGGCAGTTGATGTGGGGCTCCTGGTACGTGATGGTGCGGGTGGGGCTCTGAATCTTGGTGGGCGCTGTTGTCGTATTATTTTGCCTCTCCTTATGATGATGTCCTCTTCTCCTGCATCTCTTCTCCGCTTGAGTTCCTCCCGTAGCTTCCTGTTTTCCTGTCTGTCCTTGAGGGTCTGGTCCGGTGTGATATATATATTGCTGAAAGTAGGAGTATTATGTAATTTCCTAGACTCACTCAATATTCGAGCTTTGATCTCTGTATTTTCCAAAACTACTAATAATAATCTAGGCCTTTGTCTTTTTTCACCTAATCTGACTGCTCTCGTGATAGAGACATTATGGATGTTAAGACCTGAGCTAAGAATTTCTTTGATTTGTGCCTTGTCACGTATAATTCTATCATTTGTTGTTGGGTGGTTAGATTCGGTTACATTATGGAAAATCAAATTGTTTTTCCTTCTTTCACGCTCAGCTAGTTCAGCTGCATAAGTTGTGGTATCTACGAGTTGTGAGATGTTTTTTGACACTGTTTTATCCGTTACCTTGATTTGATTTTGAATCAAAGATTGTACCTTATCACCTGTATCTTTGACAACCTTGTCGGCTACCTTAATCTGGCTATCTATGAGGGCTGTCACTCTCTTGTCCACTCCCTTGATGAAATCCTCAGACTTAGCTTGTTGCTGTTGCATCTCCTGTATCCCTTGATCTAGAATTCTAAGTTTCTCTGAAAATACAGCCATAGGCTTCACTACTATGTCAGATAGTTTAGAATTTAATTCAGTTCATGTTGATTCTAGCTTTTTAATTGTATTCTGTAGTTGGTTATCACAGGGGCCTTGCTCTGGGGCATTGGGTAGGGTGCCTGGTGGGGGGTTGATAATTTGAATGATCATACCCGGTTCACACTCGTTACAGAACCAGTGAACATGCTTGCATTTTTCCAGTACCTTATATACCGCTTTATTGAGACCAGTTTGACATTTAAGACAGCTCCACCTGGAGCATTTTTCACAGCATACCTTTTCTGCAGATGGCTGGCGGCAAAAATCACAGACATCCGAGTTCTTCAATATAGACGCATCGTGGAGGGTTATATCTCCCTCTTCTTCGGGATAAACTTCCTCAGAAATACTTGGTTTGGATCTAGATTGCGATCTTTCTGATGATTTTTTTTTGACAACGTGTTCTTCCGGAAGTAGAATTACCGCAGGTGGGTCGTGAGGACTTTTTGCGTCACTGGGTTTAGACTTACCCTCAAATAATTGCGCAAGTGTGGCTACTGGGCTTACTACCTTCTTCTGTCCAGATGTTACTTCGCTGGGAGTATTATCCTTATTTATATCCATAGGTTTTATGTTTGAGTGCTTTTTGTTTTGCGACATGGTGACCTACTTCCTGTCGGTGGGACAAAGAAGGAATCCTCTTCTCGGCCGATATTCTACACGAGTAAGCTGCAAAAGGTTGATTTCTGCACTTGTGCGTCCTCGGGGTAGTTGGAACTTCCTTCTGTGTAGTCCAACAACATTAGACCTAGCCTGGGCCTCGTTTCTTATCTGACATGTCTTATGGCCCCGGCTAGGTCTAACTTCCATGATGATTTTGCCCTTGTTGCGATCATTTAATCGTTCAGCAGGTTTCGACATGCGGAACTAATTAAACTCCGAAAACATGGTAATATTACATAAAGAATGTGATTCAAGCATGCATACATACCTTATAAATACATACACACCATCCCGTACCCCCCTTAGACCATATTGATGCATAATTACGAAAATATTGGAGACAGGTTTGGAATTTTACGAAAATATCGGTCAGCTCCGGTAACATCGAAATTGCAAATCGTATCAGGAATTAACCGTCATTGCGACACTGCATCAACGAACAGTAGGTTTGCAATTAATAACGATTTTGTGTGTATACAAGCGCTATATAGATCAATCAAAGATACCTGCTATCCTCAAAAATGGTTATTTTATCCCGAGTAATCGCGTGATAATTATCAATCTATTTGACAACAATTTCGTTTCAATAGTTTAAATTTTAACCCGGGACGAACAGACACAATGCCGGACATGCGGAAATGTCATTTTAGAGATTGGTAAGTTTAACCTCATTTTACTTGTATAAATGACCATTTAATACAATAATATTGTGTTGAATCGCTTGATGTTATGTGTTTTTATATTGTTGTCAAGTATCAGTTGCATGTTATCGCGGAAAAATGGTTTCGGTGGATCCAAAACTTGCATCAATGGAAAGAATAGTAAAGAGGTTAAACTCAATAATGGCCCCAAGAAAATTCTTAATAATAAATAACGCCGTTATTGAGTTTAACGACGTTGAACTACCTTCTGTGTAGCTTTGTAGGTATGTGAAGGGCTCTGGTAGTTGGTAGGATGTCGAAATGGGGGAGCGCTTAGACAAACGTTTGGCCATTTTGGCATATAATGCGCTATGATGTGCTATGATGTATTATGTTTTTACTGGATATATCTAACAATCATTTTCTACAAATTTCAGGAAGCATCAAAAACGACCCCCCTTTTTACTCTTAATAAGCAGTACACTCATCGGAGGGCTTGCCCGACGCCTCGAGACAAGTCCCTGTGTTCAATTGTGTTCAAACCGACCTTGTCAAACTGGAAGTGGAAACTGCAAAAACTGAAAACTGCACAAATTCTAATAGTCCTATGTTATTTTTGAACGACAGACAGTCTCAACTGAAACATACTCTGAATTGATTTAAAACGTTTACCTTGATATTGCGGTGTTATAAATTGATATTTAACCATGCATATATGCTCACTTTAGGACGTTTACTTCGAAATAAATTTTAGGAAGACAGAAAAGAATGGCGAATGTGAAATACGTCACGATATTCTGTGCTAAATGCTAATCATATTCAATACAGGTTGCAAAGGATATTATTGAAGAAATAAAGTTATAGTATAAAATAATATATAAATTATATAAATTCGTCGTTGTTAATTATATAACCCTGCTACTTTATTGATATAAACTGTTATAATTTCTTCTTCTAATTTTAAAATGACGTCATCGTTTTATGTGCCTAAAATCGGAAGTTAGGAAAGTGAAATTTTTTTCATTTGATTTCTCTTCAGTCTTCTCTTATCGCCAACGTCATTCGAAATACATCCCGGTGATCTTGTGGTGAAAGGAGTTGTTACAGGTAAGTCAATTACTGCTGCCCATAAAGTTAAATTCTAAATTATATTGTCTTTTGTGTTTTCAACATTTTTTCTTCCCCCTTAAGGTCTCATGGAAGTTAACAGGAAATGACAAAACAAAAAATGACAAAGCCATGCTGGATTTTGAAAATTTTTTGAACCAAGATAACAGAGTTCTGTTTGGACCTCCAGTCAGTTTAACTAGTTCCAAATATCATTTACATGACCAGGAACACAATTGAAAGGGTCAGAATGACCATAAACATGATAAAATAACCTTTTTAGCCCTCTGAAAATGTGACTGAAAAATAGCTAAAAGTAGGTGCTCAGGAAAGGTCAATGAACAGAATCTTTTGATTTTTTCAGAATATGTGTCCAATATATTGCTCTAAATGACACAATCTTTGAAATTTTAAAAAATCGTCTGAAACAATAATGGCTGTAGTAAAAAGGAAAATAGATCGATTTTCAATTCAGTTTTTTTCAATTTTTTCTTTTTCTAAGAATGATATAAATTTTTTTTGAATTGTATCATTTAGAGCAATATATTGGGCACATTTTCTGAAAAAGTCAAAAGATTCTGTTCAGTGACCTTTCCTGAGCACCTACTCTTAGCTATTTTTTAGTCACATTTTCAGAGGGCTGAAAAGGTTATTCTATCATGTTTATGGTCATTCTGACCATTTCAACTGTGTTCCTGGTCATGTAAATGATATTTGGAACTAGTTAAACTGACTGGAGGTCCAAACAGAACTCTGTTATCTTGGTTCAAAAAATTTTCAAAATCCAGCATGGCTTTGTCATTTTTTGTTTTGTCACTTCCTGTTAACTTCCATGAGACCTTAAGAAATTCTCCATCTAAAATGTCACTCGACTTTTTTTGTGATTATGAGTCAAAGAAAGCATTCTTGAGTTTCAAATTGACTTCTGTGGTAACTTAAAACCATCTTCTAATTTATTCCACTTACCTTTTATTGTTTCTCCAAATATATTCTTTGAAAATCGGATTTTAAGGTTGTTAATCAGGGTAATTCTGTGCCATTTTATCAAAAATCTTGTTGCTATCTAGAAACGAGCAATTGTGATCTTGTTGTTACCTAGGAACGAGCAACTGTGATGTCACGTCACACTCATGTTAATTCTGGAATCACATGGCAGCCATTTTGGAAATTTCAAAAAAGTTCCCAATTAAAAAGGCTAAATGCTGTTTACAAATTGGAAACTATGGCAGAATCAACAAAGGGTTTGTGAAATAATTAGGATATGGTTTCAAAATTATGCACATGACAATATATGACTACTAAATGCAGGCAGGGACTTTTAATTGCCAAAAAGTCGAGTGACATTTTAGATGGAGAAATTTTTAGTTCAACGTCGTTAAACTCAATAACGGCGTTATTTATTATTAAGAATTTTCTTGGGGCCATTATTGAGTTTAACCTCTTTACTATTCTTTCCATTGATGCAAGTTTTGGATCCACCGAAACCATTTTTCCGCGATAACATGCAACTGATACTTGACAACAATATAAAAACACATAACATCAAGCGATTCAACACAATATTATTGTATTAAATGGTCATTTATACAAGTAAAATGAGGTTAAACTTACCAATCTCTAAAATGACATTTCCGCATGTCCTTCATTGTGTCTGTTCGTCCCGGGTTAAAATTTAAACTATTGAAACGAAATTGTTGTCAAATAGATTGATAATTATCACGCGATTACTCGGGATAAAATAGCCATTTTTGAGGATAGCAGGTATCTTTGATTGATTTATATAGCGCTTGTATACACACAAAATCGTTATTAATTGCAAACCTACTGTTCGTTGATGCAGTGTCGCAATGACGGTTAAATCCTGATACGATTTGCATTTTCGATGTTACCGGAGCTGACCGATATTTTCGTAAAATTCCAAACCTGTCTCCAATATTTTCGTAATTATGCATCAATATGGTCTAAGGGGGGTACGGGATGGTGTGTATGTATTTATAAGGTATGTATGCATGCTTGAATCACATTCTTTATGTAATATTACCATGTTTTCGGAGTTTAATTAGTTCCGCATGTCGAAACCTGCTGAACGATTAAATGATCGCAACAAGGGCAAAATCATCATGGAAGTTAGACCTAGCCGGGGCCATAAGACATGTCAGATAAGAAACGAGGCCCAGGCTAGGTCTAATGTTGTTGGACTACTTCCCCCTAAGTAATTAAAGTGGGGGACAAAAATAAATCTCAACCCTCAAAAGTTGTCACAATGAGCTAAATTCTAAGTTTCATGTCTCAAACTCTCCCAAGTGGTAGAAAAATAATTCCCATCCACTTTAAGTAGCACAATAAATGAATCCAAAGCCTCATACCTGCAAATGATGGAAAAATCCCTACCAAATCGGACTAATGTTTTCATGAATCGCCATGTTTGTGATCCAAGGAGGATTGACTCCCAGAATGCAACATCAAGTAACCTTATTTATTCGTGACGTATTTCAAAACGGCGGAATGGCATTTTGAAAGCTGACACGTGTCATGTTGCATTCTGGGAGCCAACCCACATTGCGGCGTAATCTGGCTCCAAAATCACCTCAACATTTGAAGAGTCGGCATTAACATGTGAATTCCACATCAACTTTTTAAGTTCTTATTTGTCATTATGGACACAAATTCCACTATATCTGGACTTACAATGACGGAGAAAATAGAGCACTGAATACACTGAGGTAAGAATTTATTACATATGCGACAACATGTAAGGTTTTTTAGGTTTTGTAATTCTTTATGCCCCCCACTGTAGGCCTAAGCTTACCCAGTCTTACCTTCTTCTAAGGCCACTGTATCGTGGCCTTCCAGTACAGATATATTCCCGCATGAACAACTGGTCATGTCGTAATCATAAAATTTGAAATCATATGTCCGCCATTTTTCCACATCACAATTTGAATTGCGAGTTTTGGACTTATTACCTCACCAAAAATTCCAAAACACACATAAAGTGATCAGTGTATTAGTTCACATCTTCTGGATCGCTAACTTAGAATTTACAGCCAGTTACTAATGTCAGACGTTAACGACATTTCGTCCAGTTTTCGAACATCGCCATTTTTCTTGGAGCCATTTTGTTTTAATTTTAGACGATTTGGGTCCGGTGTGATTAATGTTTTATTTTTCTGGCGATTTTTAAAATGTTCTATAAATTTATGACACTCCGGCCAGCTTTTTTCAAATAGAGTTCACAGTATTCCAGATGAAAACCCCTCTAGCCAAGTATTGGCTAGAGACTCGGGTAAACCCAGTCGATTTCACCTCCTGACAGGGGGGGTGGGGTACTCGCAGATCCGGAGCCAGATCCAGCCCCTATTGGTTGTAGGCGTAAAGAATAAATGGGAAGATAAGACATAAACCAAAAATCCTACATCAAAAAAATGACCACCCAAAAATATGACCCTCGTGCTCACGGACCTCTGCCAGATTACCTCCTCTGTGTTTAGGCTCAATAATATACTCAAGGATTTAATGGAGTGCTTCGGCTATCTCCTTTGTTCAAATGTTTATTCCCGAAGTCGAATGCCTTTTCTGAGAATGTGACGCCACTAGGGGTGGGACAGTTACGCGAAATTGTTCCATTCCGCGATATTTGGGTTCGGTATCGGAATTCCGAACACGAGGAAGCACTTTTGGAATGGGACAAGACACCTCAAGCTCAGTATTTTTCTACCAATTAGATCGTAAATAAGCCGATTTTGTCTAACATCAAAAATAAATTTTAAAACTTACGATTGATTCTCCTCCAAATTTGAAGAGTCAGTATGCGTTAGAACTACAACTTTAGCAAATGAAAACAATCAATATTTATTGATTAAATATAGCGGTAGTGGACGATCCGATAAAATCCCGTTCGATGAGGAATAACTATATTATCATATCAATTGTGCAGTGTATATGAATAATATTTCAATCATCGCAATCTTTTATCTTTGTTTCAAATATTTAATTCGTTTCATTTCAAGTTTGGCTTCGTAGGCTCTCTATAATGGCAGCACCGAGCAAATCTTTTACAATAGAATATGCTCCAAAATACCTCAAGAGCTCAGTGTGGGAGCACTTTGGTTTCCCAAGACTGGATGGGGTAAAGCAGAACAATAAAACTGCATGCAAAACATATAACCTACATTTTTCCAAGCCATGTACACTGGTTTTTAAAGTTTGAAATATATAAAGTGTTTGTTTTAACATGATAACTATAAACAACATGCGATGTTCTACTGTATTCAGTTAATTCTGTTCCGTTCCGAAAATGTTCCGTTCCGAAGGTCTAAATACCGTTCCGTCCCGTTCCGAAGTTTTTCTGTTCCGTCCCACCCCAAGACGCCACTCCGGATGGCGTCACATCAGAGATTACCGAGAAGTCCAATGACGTTTCTTTAAACTCCTGTAGAAACAATATCAACGGTTTGTTAGGCTACGCGATCCTTTACTTTCATTGGCTGTTTGTTGCGATGTGACTTAATTTGAGAGACGAACAACATCGGACACTGCCGGAAATTACCGAAGCACTCCATTATCTCTCGCTCTGAAAATTTGAAATAAATGTCCCGGGAAAAGTTGAATTACAGCGTCAATAATGGATATCATGCAACCATTCAAACTAAAAAATAAAGAAGAGATTACAGGGTAAATATTGATCAATCTATGTCTGACAGATGGAAAAAATAAAGGTCAGTACGAGGGTCATATGTTTGGGTGGTCATTCATCGTTGCTTATCTTCCCATTTATCCTTTGAGCCTACTACCAATAGAGGCTGGATCTGGCTCCGGATCTGTGCTCGTACTGATTGATAAGATAATGTTTACTAACTTCTAAAAGGTAAGTGAGCGTCTCATCCCTTAGATAACTCTTATTTTTTCATTCTAGCCTGTTAGTCAGGGAGTGAAATCGACTTTAGGGGAACATGGGCCAACCAGGCAGTTCAATTTTAAAATGAGTTGTAAACCATATATTGTACATCTATTTTTTTATTAAATTAATTATATTCTATTCAAATTCTATCACTGTTAACTAAAGAGGATTGTCTCTAGAGATCGAAACACTTGGATCCAAGGTATATAGCATTATATCCAGAAATTCTAATACTGTAGCTTTCCAATTTGAGTCCTAGTTACTGTCAGGCAAAACAAATTACAATAGCTGCTTCACGATACGATGTAAACCATACAAACAAATAAAATAACCTAACTAAAGTTCATGAATATTTTCACAAGAAAATGACATATGAAAGGCAATTTCGAGTAGATTGCAAATATTGTATAGTTTTCTGATTTGGACCTCTTAACGTTCAAAATGGGTGCCTTATGTGGGATTTCATAATAAATTTCTAATTTTTTCAAAGTATGACTATATTATAGTCCAATCAAATTGAAGGAATTTTTGAGAATATCACAATTATGGTATTGTTTTTCTAATTCATGCCTGAAAAAATTCAAAATAGTTTATATTGACTTTAGAAATGGGTTGGTACAATAAACATGTCCTGTAGATTTAAAATGGACCAATTGATATCAGAATCATAGGTTTCTTGAACCAGCAAGGTATTATCCATAAGTTTTGTTTCAACTACATGCATGTATATGAACATAAAACATAAAACAATAGATGTATTTCAACATTCATATTTCAGCTGAGAATCAAAAATTCAAACTTGCTAATTCATTCAATTACGTCATTTGATTAAAGTTCAAGTCCTAATGACATCACAACCTCGATCAAATAAAATAGTTTCATGGCAAATCAGGTCAAGATTTATCAGGACATAAATACACAAAGCTAAATACAGGATTACCTGCTTCAATTTTACATGTGAGGGCTGAGGGGTCTAATGAGGTTTTACGTATAAGGGTGTCAAAACATGTAAGGGATTTAAAAAATGGTTATATCTTATAAGTTATATTTTATGAATAGAGAGGTTTCGCAACTATCTTATAGCATGTTTATTATTCCCAAATAAAGTATAACTTATGAAGTGTTTGATTTTGTCATCTTTTATTTCACAGCTCTGTACATTCATAAGTGTGATATTCTTACGTATAGACAACGATTTATATAGGTTATTTACTGGGAGGGATTGAATATGGGTTTTATTCCGAGGGACAATATGATATTGACCGAAGGGTAATATGATATTGACCGAGGGAGCGCAGCGACCGAGTGTCAATATCATATAGCCCAAGGTCAATATCATATTGTCCCTCGGAATAAAACCCATATTCAATCCCTCCCAGTAAATAACCTATTTATTCCATAATACACCCCTCTAAAATGCTACATTTGGATAATGCAGATTACTGGGAAAAAATAACCGGGAAACCGAAAATAGGTTAATATGCTCCAATACGATTTTTTCCCGGGGACAATACGATTTTTTCATGTAATACGCTCAAATACGATTTTTCCCCCGAGGACAATACGATTTTTCATGTAATACGATTCAATACGATTTTTATTCCTTCATATTTCCCTAGGAAAACAGTAGTATTATGGAATAAATAAGAATATCACAATTATGGATGTATAGAGCTGCGCAATAAATGATGATGTAATCAAACGCTTCATAAGTTATACTTTATTTGGGAATAATAAACATGCTATAAGATAGTTGCGAAATCTCTCTAATGATAAGGATTTACTACTGAATTTACAGTGATTGATACTTGGCCTATAAAGATACAAAATAGAGCCCCCCCCCTCAAAATGTGCAGATAAGGACACAAAAACACAGGAACCTCAATAGACCCCCATCTCATAAATACTGCAAAAGGTAGAGTGTTTTGAAGTAAAGTTACCACATGTTAATATTGCTTTTTTCTCACAGGTAAAATATCATGAAACTATGGCAACCAGCTCAAATGAATCTAAAAGTGACAATAAAGCATATGGTGTTATTCTAACGGCAGACACTGAAGATGACCCCATCAATGATAGCTCAGTGTGCTTGGGGTGTATTATCCTCAATAGCAACCAGTTAGGAAGGTTGACACTGAATGACATCAGAGATAAGATTGCCCAACAACTCAGTGATGTCCCAGTGCAGTTTTGTTTCCTCACTAAACAGGGGTAAGTGTAATACTTGAAGTTCTCATGAAATTTTTTTTTTTCAGTTCGAATTCATTTTTTGTAAAGATCACATTGCAGAATCATAAGCAAACATTTCATTCTATAATAAGGGCAACTCACATTCATCATTCAATGATTTTTGTAGGATGTCTTGCTTAAAGTGAGGACATACACATCAATGCAAAATAAAATATTGCAACATTAATGTGAATGCAATTTTATGAATGAATTTCATTATTAGTCATCACTATATTTAAAACAATGACATGATTTCGTTCATTCCATTTATCTTGACTTGTTTACACATATTCTGTTAAACATTAACAATTTTATTTATATGATTCATTTTCATAATTTATTTATATGATTCATTTTCATACTTTATTTAGATGATTCATTTTCATACATCCTTTTATCAATTTATCGTTCAATAGAATGTATAATCATAACATGTGTTCAACCTACCAATTGAAAAAAGACCAATGATCTTTTTGAATTTAAAAATTCAAAGAATATAAAAATGTTAAAAGAAACTCCAAGCTTTTTTGAGGGATAGAAAGTATTTTCTTTCATTTTTTTAACTTTCAGTTCAGTGTTTTGTGCTTGTCTACTTGAAAATTGGAAAAAACTAAAAAAAATTGTCTTATGATAATTTTCACCAATTTTAGGCATAACTGATTTTAGGCAGAGCTGAATAATCTTAAAAAGACAATGTTATGATATATAAATAAATCAATAAACTGTTGTAGCTGTTGTACCATTAGTATGAACTCCCTTGAAAATTCAAAAATATTTATTACAGGTGGCAGGTTACTCCATCCCAAGAGGATATGTTATTGGCCAGTAGTACAATCATCACTGAAGACAAATCTATACTCATCAAAAAATTCTATGGTAATATTATACTTTCTTATTCAATACTTTGTAACTTGACCAAAAAATATTATGAATATTCAGCTATATTTTGGCTTTTTATGTCGACACCTAAAGTGGTGACATATTGTTATAGTCCAATTTTTTGTGAACAGTGTTTTGTCTGTGACAGCATCTGTAACAAATGGCAGTTGGTGTTGGTAACAAATGGCAGGTGGTAACATTTTGCAATTGTTAATGACTTGCTCGTTTTTGTTTTTGATTAACAGGATTTTATGGTTGCTGTATCAGGAAGTTTCTTTTTTTGTAAATCCCAACTTTAAACTATATTTATGTAAATTCAGATTTAGATAGTATGCTCACTCAGACATAAGACACTTGGTAAGATACATGTACATGTTGTATTTATAATTATTTAGCATTATTTGTAGAGTATTTGAAATGAAATAATTCAACTGATCCTTGTTTTAAGATTTTCTCCCTCCTGATGTTACCAAGCTTCAGTATATCTGTTATTTATAATAAAGACTGTTCATGAAGGATTACTTTATGTGTTGTTTATTATTAGATAAAGCCAGGGTCGGAGTAAGATTGAACCATGTAAATCGCAGTGTCCATTCTGAAGGATCTCATTCCAAAGTTTGTGGGTTTATATTTGCTGATCATTCTGAGCCACTACACTGTACAAGGAATGCACTACTTGAACAGGTAATAGATAACTCACTTTTTCTTCATCTTAGACTAGAATCATGACATATGTCAAAAAGTTGAAAATCCGTTGAAGGACATTTTGGAAACGTAAAACGTACTTTTACAAGACATAAGTGTCAATTGTGGTCAAAAAGTTCATTTTGAAATTAAATTTAAAAAGTGATTAGATTTTGGAGTCTAAGTCTAAGTTTGAGTCTAAGTCTTTATTATGGTATGAAAAATCACAATCTTTTGCATTTTCTGGATTACAGTAGATTGACCTATAATTGCACCTGAAGAACTATAGCCTTAACATTTAACTTTCAATGAAATAATTTCTTATTTTTTAGCTTCCAAGTATTTTCTCAAACGAACAAAATAGTGAGTTTGTGTTTAAAGACCGAAATGGTTGGCCAATTACCAGTGACCAGGAAATCAATTTCACGGTGCTCGATATTCTTGCGGGGGCTTATATTTCTCTACAAGTGTTCTCCACAGATAGGGACCTTCCTATGATCAGTGAGGTGCAAGATGCAGTAGATTCCACCCAGGTCTCTAGACCAAGTCAACTTGAGCTTCCACCTCCACCCTCTCCTAAAAGGCCAAGGTAAATGCATTGATTTAAGTATATGTAATAAATTATATGGATTGTTGGACAGGTTAATGTTGTAGAATTGGCAAAATTTTTAAATTCCAGGAGTTACTATTGCTTTCCCAGACGAGTATGTCACTTCCAGGTCTAACTCTCCCCTGCATCGCTTCAATGCTCTTCAGTTTGACTTTTATGAAAGTTATGTTTGAATTTAAGGCACATTTTAAATTTTCTGAATTTCAATTCAGTGAAAATATAGTGATAATAAATGTGAGAATTATATATTCAGAAGTAGAAATTAAATTTATTTTATTAGAATACATGTTACAATATGGGGTCTCAGACTGTAACATGTTGCTTTTTACATATATTTTCAAAACCACAATTCAAATATTTTCACAAAGTCCCCTCTATTTGATTTCAGATTTTACATGCCTAAAGCATTAACATTCCGAAGTGCCAAAGACCTTGAGCGTGAGGTCAGCATATCTAGTACAGACAGTAGTGGTACAAGTGGGGGTACCCTCTCAGTAACCTCCTCTGCTAATACCCCCCAACTGAAAGAGATTATGATTAGCTACGTGAGGTGTGAAGCTGCGGAACATGCACTGATGCTCAAAAAATTACTTGTAAAACTGAATTTTAGTGTCTTCTTGGTAAGCTATGATTGAACCAAGCAATAATTATCCCATTGAACAATATATAATTACCTTTACTGTATACGGAAATTGTTTCATTTTCATATAACTGAACATAAGTTCTTCAATCTTCAATCCTACTGCAGCAAATAGCACATCAGCCTTGCACTTGGCAGAGAATTTTCAGAACCGTATAAATAACCTGTCAAGAAAAGAGAAATAGCACTTTTTAAAACTGCTTTACATAGCTGTGTATAAACATATCATTTTAGGATGTCCATGAGATAAAGTTAGGTGTTGACTGGCAAGATTATTTGAACTATGCAGTCAGTAACTGTGAGGTGTTTGTTCCTCTAGTAACCAATAGATATGGTGAGACGCAGTGGACTAATAGAGAGGTATTAAAGTAAAAGATTTGGCCCGTGTTTCGCATTTTGAGTTTTTGAATTATGTCATTTTTAAACTGTAAATACGTAAATGGTATACAGTACATTATTTGAAATTTTGGATCTTTGTGCTCTTTTTAAAACTAATGTCTGGATTTAAAAGGATCCATTTTTATATTTCAATAATACTAACTGCTATACAATAATCATAACTCTACTATACATTTTGTTACATATGAAACTATTTCTAAAATGTTCATACTTCATAGGTAAAGCTAGCAGATGTGCTTCACAAATATATCCTTCCAATCAATTTCTTGGAGGAGTGGCCCCCAAAATGTCTGGCAATACAGTTTGCTACCACACAATTTATCCCATGGAGCTCTGGGAAGCATAAAGAGCCAAAACTACAGGGTGAGAAATACTTTAAATGTAATCTCATTCCATTCAATCCCCCTCCATTCAATTTCAATTTTTTCAATTATTTACATAATAGAGAGGTATAAGTAGAATGCATCAATATGTTTGACACAAATCTGTATATATGGAGACCAATTGTGTCCAATCTAATCAAATATAACTTGAGTACCTAGGCACCCATTTTGTATGTAAAATCTGATGAGATTACATTCATTGCGATTGCCCACATGTCAACTCATCTTAAATCTACTATACCATATTGTGTTTCTTAAATCAATTGACCCTTAGGTCTTCATAATAATAAGCTATAAACGCGTCCTGTTATATCTCTTGTAAGATTCAAAAATCATAAAACACTGCCAGACTGTAAAACATCTCCTTTGTTAAACACTCATCAATTTGTCATTATAATAATGTTTTGATACTTTTAAAAAAATTCTAGAAAACCTAACATATTTTATCATACCGTGTACTTATTCATTTAGCAATTCAATCGTAAACTTTCTCTTGAAAAATAAATCTTCCAGATTTGTTGAATTTTATTGCGGAAATCGCCCATCCTCCTCCGTTCATTCTGTCTGATCACCGGTTGTGATATTTAATTCAAACATGCATTCCTGTGTTGTTTCAATTAGGTGAACTTGAAAACAGTAGTGATGCCATGGCTCCAAATCAAGAATGCTTGGAAGTAGTGGCCAAAGAAATAGCCCAGCATGTGAAGAACTACAAAGTGAACCAATTGAAGACTGCATTGAAGGCTAATGCTCCCCCTCTATTAACACCTAATGAAGAAAAGATTATCCCACCTCCTGGTACCCCCTTAATGGGCCCCTGTAGTGCAGATGGTAAGTGGCCATTTACTTATCTATTAAGCTAGCTCAAATGTGCTTTTGAAACTCTCAAAGCATCTCTAGGCATGATCTACTCCCTTTAATGTGTTTATTGTGTTCCAGGTCTGTTTGCTCCCAGGAACAGCCTCGCTAGCAGCACAGACAGCGTGGACAGTGTTCGCCACACATACAAGATAGTCCTCAGCATGCATCCAAGACAGAGAGAATTTGTAAGTTAGCTTAATATAGGTTGAAATTATCAAGAATTTCTTAGTTAATTGAATATTATGCTCATAATTGCTTAATTTTACTACTCCTAGTATGGTTCAACATTTCTAATTTACTGACTTTTACTATTATGTTAAGCAGTTAAAGTGTCAATCTTAAAAGAACAATTGACTGTATTGATCTTGCACACACATTTACTTCTAAACCCATTTGCAATTTCTTCAAAATGCGAAAATTCATGAAATATTGTCACCCAGTCATTGCAAAAATCCTAGGGAAATCTCGTTTCTTATGATCCTATTAAATTAAATGATTTCCCTTGTAGGGTCAAAGGTTGAGGCAGGAGCTTGAACAAGATGGTTGTGAAGTATGGTGCTCTACAGACATATCAGCTACTGCGTCATCAATGGAGTTGGCTGATACTCCAGACAGCTCTCAGACAATGTCCCCTGCTGTCAGCAGTGAGCTGAGAGTTGAAGGTTTGTGGTGATCTTTGTGTACATTGTGTCTTATATGTTGAACAAAATCAGAAGATTCCATTGGAGATTTCGAAGACTCCCAGAATTTAGAAAGAATCCCAAATATTTGAACTGCACATGTTGCTTAACAGGTTAAAACAAAATTTTCAAGTGCTGATAATTTCAGAAAAAATATTTAGATCATAGTCTATCAAAAAGTGTAATTTAAGATTACTACAGTTATACTTTTGATGAGTTGCTCACTAGTTGATCCCCTTCAAAAAAGTCTTATGTCTTGTCATGTAGATTCTGGCATGTGTCCACTACTACTGAAGAGATCGGGGAGTATCTGTAGTGATAACTCAGAGGCAGATGAATTAAAGTGGATTCGGCAAACATTCCAAGAAAAGGTTGATAAAGCATGTGTGGTCATAATCCTGCTATCAAAAGCATTTGCTGGCTCAAAAATGTGTAGACAGCAGGTATGCATAAAATATTATTCTTTGAATTTAGAATATTGCGAGTCCTCGCCACTTAAGTTCTGATTCTAATGTACAGGGTGCAATTAAACCTCTTAGTTTGCAACTAATAATTTAGGTATATTTATTTGCATTATGTGTGCTAAACTGAGAGATGTAGAGTATTGCATCAAATGATTTGTTCACTAAAATTAACATGGGATTCCAGTAAGGAAGCGATTAGATTTTCTTACATACGGAACTACCTTAAAAATATGTGGATGCACTTCACAATAGCAAATATTCGATTTACTATACACTGCATTGCAAATGTACCACACCTGTATTGTAGATGCTCTAATGTAATACACATGTATTGTAGGTGTTTTACTGTGAACATAGGAAGCGAATGATTCCATTAAAGTATGAAGATTTTCCAATGCCATACTGGATGGCCATGCTCATAGGCACAGATTCTTTTGAGGTAGATTATAGTTTGTATGATTCACAAAATTGCCATTTAATACATTACATTTACAAACAGGAAATAATATACATGTACACGCGGTACAAACTTCGACCGTTAATTTAAATTTTTGACCTGCCAGATGTTTGAAAATCAAGGATTGCGAGTCTCATACTGCACCGTTTTTCTTCAAACTTGTTCCATTCAAAGCAAAACAAAATTGCCTTTCTGTTGGTACATTGCTTTATTGAAAAGAGTCGCTCGTTTTAGCAGCGTTTTGGTCCCCAGTTGTGAGAAGCCCTTCTCACAGCTGGGGACCCAAATGCCGCTGAAAGTAGGGACTCTGTATTGCAGAATAATGTACCAACAGAAAGGCATTTTTGTTATGCTTTGAATGGAACAAGTTTGAACAAAAACGGTGCAGTATGAGACACGCCTTGATTTTCAAACACCTGGTAGGTCAAAAATTTAAATTAACGGTCGAAGTTTGTACCGCGTGATGTATATAGGGATAGGACTGGTTAGCAATAAACCCATTTGTCATTCTAGAACTATACTCCAAGAAATTCATCCCTCCTAATAGCTCCAACAATATCACATTTTTTGGTTCACTTCACCATTCTATTTTTGGTATGGTTTTCGGATCTATTGGCACTTTGCAGTTTTCTGATCATTTTTCTCTAATCTGTTCCTCTACAGAAAATTGAATAAATAATAATTTCCCAAATTTTCACTATATTTATTTTGTTTTAGTTATTTTTTCACTCTATGTATTATATATACATGTATATGTCTTATAGATGTCAGATCAAAGATCCAGTCAACAATGTGTAAGTAGTAAATTGTAAAAAATCTCTGCTTTTGGCCCATTTTCCCATTAGCCTACATGTTTTTGTGTGTTGCAATTATTAAATGTTATTTTAAAGGAAGTTGCTAATCATTCCTATCCCCCAAAAATATAATTTAGAAGATCAATTTGAGTAATATAATGATAGTTCAATTTATTGTATGAACTACAGTTAGGAATTGAAGGTGCGTAATATCTGATCCATATATAAATAGTTAATAGTCCAGCACAAGATTTCACGCTTCACCGGCTGAACTATAGTTATTTAATAGAATGCTTAAACACCACACCATGGCTCTAGATAATCATTTGAAGAAAACTTCATTATTAGATTAACAGAATGGTTCTAGGGATGGGCCTCATAATATCACATTTTTGGCCAGTAAGTTTGACTTTACAGGAATGGGACCGGTATGGATACAGCCTGTATCCATCCCAGTCCTTGACCTAGGCGATAGCTCCCTAGATACACTATATATTTTCGCTCATTATGTACCTAGACCCTCAATAGGTATGGAATACATATATACATTGTTGTTTGTAGTGTATGCTTTGATCCCTTGTTGGTCTCTGGAATCCCTTTGGAACATAGTTAGTCCATAAGTAATAGTAAAAGTAGTAATAGCAATTGAACTAAGGAAAATGTGCTTCAAATTTTACACTGCAAAATACACTATTTTCTCATTAAGTTAGTAATGGAAGATCCTTCTGCAAGATAGGGGTCTGTTTGGAGATTGATTTTTCAGGATGTCCAGTCAGAGGGAAATAATTTTTATCTAAAACATTGTTTTTCAGGATGTCCAGTCAGAGGGGTTTATAGACAGCTTGAGGGCCAGAATCAGAATGTCTCCTATGAGAACCCTCAGTCAGACTGACATGGACCAGGCAGTAAGAACTATTTTTTTCATAACATCTTCAATTATTAGACCTTTTTGTTTTGTGTTCATTTCCTAATCCTTATTCAAAAATAAGGTTAATACTGTTACATTCATCAGATTTCTTCACAAAAGTTATTTTGGAATTTCGTTAAGGGACTCCTATATTTAGTAGCTAAAGGTCAAAAAAGTAATTTGAACAAATCACGTTTTTAATTGTATTTGCCAGAAAGAAGTAATTGCTGATTGCCTTTTTAACTGAAAAAAACTTCTATCTGAAATAATAAATTTCCTGTGCAGATTGCCAAGGTGCAAGAATCGCTGCCAAGTAGGGGCTGTATTTACATCTCTGGCGGGACAAAATTCTACAACAAAACCAGTGAAGATATCTGTAAAGCAATTGGTGAACACCTTGCCAAGGTAGAAGACGTAACATTGGTAACTGGAGGATTCTTTGGTGTTGGAGATTGTGTCGGGAGAAGTTTTCACACTTCACATGAGAATGACCCTCCTCCTATGTTTCATATTCTACCCCATAAAGACTGCAAAGTAAGTATGCTTTTATAGGTGTGAATAAAACGCCAAAATTAAAAATATCTGGAAACTTGACTTTTTAAATCAACGAGGGTTTTTTCCTATGCGCAGTTGCTGTTTTTCATTTTATTAAATTATATTTTTCTAATGAATATTTAATTAGCATGATACATGGATAGAGTTGGAGATAAATGTTTGATGTTATAGTATGCAGTGTTGCACAACTTGCTTTGCTTTTTATACCATAATGTTAACATACCTGCCACATGTCTTAGTGGTGAGAGCTATTGCAGTCATTCACTTGTTTCTTGGTGCCTGTCATGTCAAAAGATTTTTTAATAATTGTAACAAAAAGCCCATTGATCATTTTGATCAATAGCTTACCTATTTTTGAAAGGGTCTCCACTTTTTTAGTGGAAAAATGATTTCAGCTCATTTTGGTCATAACCTCAAAGGTATTCCACCAATTTACTTGAAACGGTAAAAGTGCCTGAATTTATTGGTTAACAATAATATCTAAAAGTTTTGGCTTCATACGTCACAATTCAAGATGGTCTTTACTTTTTGTGTTACAAATCCAAAAGTTTTGCGTCAATTTGCTTGAAATTGTACAGGCAGGTAAATGAACAATAATGTTTGGAAGTTTTGGCAAAATGTCTTGTAAAATTCAAAAAAGGCTAAATGTTTTATTGTAAAAAAGTTGTGTTTTGGCCCCTTTTGGTCATAAGTCCAAAAGTATCAATTTGTCTGCAGTTAAACAGGTAGTTCCTTAGTTTATAGATTAAGAATAATGTTCAGATGCTTTATCAAATTATCTCACTATTCTCTTAGTCTTACTGTTCAAAAGCATTACATTGATTTGCTTAAAATTATACTGTAGTTTGGTTTAAATTTGATGAAAAATTCCTGCGACTTTTATTGATTCAACTTAGCACCCTTTGAGAAAAGCACCCATTATGCTCTTTTAAGACATACTGCTTGTTGGGATTTCATAGATATTTTAAATTATGCACTATATGTATAGTTAATGATATTTAAATATTAAGTTGTCATTTTAACTCATTAGACAAAGTGGAAACACTGGGTGTCTTCCGAGGTGGCTATGACATGGCTCTCACTCAGTTTTAAAGGGGTTGCCACATGGTTTTCTCTCCTTCAGAATATCTTCAAAAGTGGTTGATGAGAATTCAGGGAATATTAAGGATTATAGTCATGATAGTGAAGTTTTAAAAAGTTGAAAATGGGATCGTCAACTGAAAAGAAACGTGAAATTAAGAAGAAAACTAAATAAAATCATACAGATGCAGTCAGTGATAATTGAGTTTGTCTCTTTTTCTCTAATTTTCTTTATCGATTATAAACAATACATTTTACTGGGCCCTTTCAAATCAGGGTATTTGTTTTGAAAATGTTATGGCAAGACTTAACCACAGCACAAGTCTGCTCCACTCAGGCTACAACCTATTAACTAGCCATGACAGTTGCCATAATTCTAAATTGCTTAAAACACACTTTCAAAGATATCTCATGAAATTTAAAAACTAAGATTAAATATGACAGAAACCTAATACTGGTAAGAGCCCTCTATGGTAGTAGCCCTCCAAGACACCAGGTGTATCCTCACTTATGGGTAACTACTGTCTTCCTCACCTCTCCTTTAAGGTTCCACAAATAGTGGTGGAGGGGGACAAATTCAGAGTTATTGGTGAAGATGATCCCATTAGCTCTGAACAGCTGGTAAGTTATCATTATGGAATATGGCATGAGTTGTTTGAATTTGAAATAGTTTGTTTTAATAACCTTCTAAAACCTTCTTAAATATATTATCTCAAAATGACCCTGGTAAATTGTGCTAAAGTAATAAATGTGGATATCCACATTTATAGAAAAGTTACTCATGCTAGATCTGATTCTGTCTGCTTTATGTGACAAAATCGTGCATTGTCTCCTTGATATTCATTACTGTTTGCTTTCACTTCACTGGCACAATACCTATACATGTATGTAACAAACACCTGTCTTATGTAGGTTAAATGTAAAAAAAATCACACCTTGCTCGGAGTGCATTATAGGAATTTAGAGATTTTGATTGCTCTACACAGACACAATAACTCCATTCGCGCTATTTTTCTGCAAAGGCACTATCGTACTTTCTTATATCATACCCTAGATGATTTGCCATTTTAGGTTTCACTACTAAACTACATACAGTAAACACTAGTCTAACCACTGTACTAGGATTGGTCTTTGTCGTTGTTCACATTTCAGGTTTTTATTAAAGTTGTAGTCATTGGGAGTTAATGGGACAAAGAGAAACATGTTTACATTGAGAGAATTGATGTTCAGAATAGAGAGATGGCTGGATGTTTTATTGCATACTAGACTTGTATACATCGAATATCACATTTCACTAATAATTGCTGATATAGTGGGGTTGTTCCCCAATCCTGTCCCATTGATTGGTGTGATATTACTCTTGGTTTGCATGAAACTTATATCAAATTTTATTCATAATTCCTAACATCCATGTTCAAAGATGCAATATCAATAGATTTTAGTCTTATCTTGGAGATTTTAAGTACTTCCATGTTGCTTCATGTACATGTATATATAATTTAACCCACTGAATTCTTGGCCATTAATTGACAGTAGCCAATCGGAGCAGGTTATTTATTAAAGTGTGACTGCTTAAAACTCTGAGTCAGCAATACTACAGCAGTGAATTCATTTACATACAGTGCTACACCAAAAGTTTAAAACTATTATTGTATATTTCAGGATCGTAGACATCAGGGTCACCAAAATGAAGATCGGCAGTTCCAGAAATTAGACTATGGGACCACAGTGTTTGCAGGGAACAGTGTTAGACAGAGGGAGACAATTGTGGCAAGACTCTTCAACATCTGTATTCTAGTTGAAGGTCAGTAGTATTATGAACGTAAATTGTAAATGCTGGTCAGGTGCATATTTTTCAGTTGAAGGATTGGTTAGGTACATGTTTGGTTGGGTGCATGTTTAGTTCCCCCCATAAATGTGGGCTCCAATCATGGTTTGCCTTATCAAATGTCGGAAGTAAAAATAAACACAAACTGAGCACACACATAATAATGTTTAGTTAGATGTAGGTTTGACCACGGTTACCATTGAAATTGAACCCATAAACCATTTATAATGAATCAGTAATAACTTTACGGCCAGGGTGAATGTTTGGATTTTTTCTGCATTCCTCAATACTCCTATTCGCGATAAGAGTTCAGGTGGTAATTTACATAAATATCTCCCATGATGCATCGCTTTGGAAGGGACAAACTTTCATTGTCCCGCCGAACGAGTCGATTACTCTGAACGTTTCTCAGCTTCTGATCTTCCATCAGCCCTCAAGCATATAGGTAGTAAGCTAGGACACAAAAATGTTTTTACCAGTGAACAAATTGAAATTACTTGTTTCTTATGTATTTCTATGTGATACTTCAGAAATTTGTTGTCTGACGCGCCGTATCCGGGGCGAAAGTTGCCAAAGTGGGGTTTTTGACCCTAATATAGAAAATAACAGGGGGTACTTTATTATCCTTGAATAACTTTTTCAGTTGATCTTTAATCATCACAATAACTTTACTGGAAGTTGTTAATATCATTCTTAATTAGTATGCAAAGTTTCAATGATCTGTCATTAATGGTTGTCATGGAAACCATGATCTTTGTTGAAAAAGTCCATAATTTTGGTAAAACCTGTACCTGTACATCATAAAGAATGTGCATTATTTTTCAAATCAACAGATATCAGAACATGTTAGTACTCTAAAAATTACCAGGACAGTTCAGAAATTTGTTTAAATATAATGCATATTGTTATTCACATGATTGGTAAGTGTCAAAGACCATACAATTACATAGGTGATCAAAAGTGGGCGTCGCCCTTATAATAGTAGATGATTACCATTACCTTTAAATACAGATTTTAAGTTGACTTGAGATACAATTATAATGTACTTCTATTGCCATAATCTATATAAAGCAATTCTGGTAGATACATAATATAAGTGTTGTAGGTATTACATCATGCTAGGGATGGTGGGTACATTGGGGGGGGGGGGGGGGGGTGGTAGAGGTACCCAGCCTTATATAAAACTCATATACAAAGTTTAATTTCATGTAGTACATCTTTTGGATCTTGTTCTGATTTATCTCAATATATAGGATATTGCAATTTACATTATTGGAAAGTGTATAAGACCATACAATACAACAAACATAAGTGTTTAAAAATGGGGTTTGCCTTCATAATAACAGGGTTCATACACCTTTTTTAAAATGAAATTCCCTGACATTTCCAGGCAAAAAAGGAAATTCTTGCGCAGCCTACTAAAAAGTCTCAAACAACTGTACAAGACTTATAATGAAACATTTTACCCAGTGCCCAGTAAATGTCAAGGGGGTGAAATTCTTTGGGTTTGCATCACTATGAGTGAAGCGAAACCCAAAAGGGAATACTGGGGTTCACCTCCCCAAATTATTTAAAAGGAGGGCGAGTTGTTTGTAGAATGAATCGGGGGATTTTTTTCATGAATTTCGCTTATGTTTTTCATCCAAAAAACATCAATACACTTTAAAACATTTTGTTTACTTTAAGATTACACCATGTAATCCAAAAATATATTTCTCGTTTTCAAAGATAATCCATGGATTAACACCCAGGTATTTTTATTTTTCAAACTTCAGAGGGCTGGGAATCATTGATGCTCAACGCTTTTGAATATGATAAATGCTGTTTTAAATAGGTTTTACGTATGCCATTAATTTCTCAAATTATGTAAGCTGAATGCGCCCTAGAATATTCTCTTGGAGGAATCCAATGGTAATCCAATGGTAGTTCCAAGCAGATTTTTAGATGGCAGGTAAGTAAATTCTTTAGTACTCGCCTTATTGGGTTGAGTTAGTTAATATTCAAAAATTATATATGATTCTGTAAAGATGTCAGTGTGGATGCTATATGGATTGCACACGTATGGTAAGCTGTATAATCCTATATTATGTAACACGAGTACAGTTTTGGTTGATATGATTGTGACTGAGTGAGAGATCAAACTCTTTAAGGTAGTTCTGCATGTTGATGATTTTTACTGATTTTGGTGATGAATAAATTATCTGATATTTATAAATTGGATATAAAGAATTATGGTAACATACACATGGACCATGCATACACATACAATTACAAATGTGAAAATATTGTCCCTTTCATTGATTATCGGTATTTAAAATCATGAAAATTATTGAAAAATATCGAGACATGTCTACCTTAAAATCAAATTGGCTTACAAGTA